AGAAGGTATCTCCAGAATGGCAGAATGGATCTCGTTGAAATTTGATGTATATAGTCTGCAAGAACATATAATCTACGTATATTTTTTTTATTTCACGCAAACGGAGTCGTCGGCGACAGCTAGTATTTTAATAAAATATGAAAATATTTTTATCTGGACAGGCATTGAAATAAGCACTAACTTTTTTTTAGTATAATTTAAGTCTAGTAATAGATCAAATTTGGCTAAAAAAGATTTTGATGTTGATTTTTTTTGAAGCCATTTTTAAGAGTGAGATATCAAACTGTCGTTTAAATATTTTTGAGTTAAAAATTGCTAAAAAAAAAGCAAGGAATGCTAAGCAGTAATCAACGTAACGTTAATAGAAGCAAACGTTTAGAATTTCACAATTGCATAGAATGCCTTATACGCGTAACACGATAATTGCGAATGTTAGCTATTTAGTAAGAGAATTTAGCGTTTTACACATTTGTAGTGTAACTAATTAGTTGTTAATTGTAAAAAAAAACTTACGTATTACAATAAAAACATGTACTCAAACTAGCTGTCGCCCGCGACTCCGTCTCCGATATAAACTTAATTAGTAACCTATGTGTTCTCCCAGACTGTTTTCTATATGCCAAATTTCAGCGACATCCATAACTCCGTTCAGGAGATACCTGACATTGTTTGTAACATACATCCATAACTTCAAACATTCTCATTTATAATACTAGTAAGATATAAAATAACAAAATAAGAAAAAAAAAATGAACCCAATATCTACTAAATACTTTTTTATCAATAACGAACATTCTAGATATATGTAAGTCAAGTTGAGTTCATTAATTTAACAACACATGTAGATATATGCAAACGTCGTGAAGATAAATTATATTAATTCTTAATTAGTTAAAGTAAACATAAGACGAAATGATGAAGAAATTTCTTCACAAATAGATATTGACCAAAGTAATATAAACTGATTAATCAAGACCGCTATTGTAGTCCCTTGGATGTAAAATTTATAATTAGATCTGAATTCAAACTGCGCTGATTAATGTACAAAACGAACAGTAAAGACGGACCACCCATGGGGAGTAGACGGCTTAATAAGACCCTCATTAACACCTTAATGGCTATTCTCAATTCGCCTGATTTCGCTCGACTTTTATTTTTCTCTGGGCCCTCCTCGCGAGTCGGCCGCGCAACGTTGTACGCCTCGTCCCCGTCGCCCTACTCTAATTGAATTTCTGCTCTCCTTTTTCTAAACTTATTCTCTTTGACTTAAGATTAGTGATGTATTTAAATTGGCGTTTTGTAACGTTTTTATAGTCGACCTGGAGCGTATCTTGTGCTTCAACCTCGCTCAACGATTTCTTATCGGAACTTTTAATTTAGTCGCGATAATGGAACCAGTGTAGAACTTTCTTACGCCTTACTTTAAAAGAGACATCAATGATTTTGTTTCTTAATGATGTTTTTATCTTTTAAAAGTACACAGTTTTCTAAAATCGTTTCTGATTCAAAATATTCCCGTCAGTCTACCGGTTTTACGTCTTTTTAGTTTTATTTGTTGTTTTTTTTGTTTAATAGATTACATGACAAGACTTAGTTTATTACAACTTTTAACTATTTAAATCTGGATGACCGAGCTTTGCTCGGTATTTTTTTAAATTGTGTTTTTTGGAAATTATATTTAAGTACGAATTACTAATAAAATGATGAAATATGAATAATATTTTTCGATCTTACCGATAGATAAAGTTGAGTTTATGTTTAAGTTTATTATCGATAAAACACGAATAAAATGACATTTTCTAAAAATGATTCCTAGCTAGATCGATTTATCGCCCCCGAAACCCCCTAGATACTAAATTTTATGAAAATCTTTGGAGCCGATTCCGAGATTCCAATTATATATATATGCAAGAATTGCTCATTTAAAGATATAAGATCTATATGTATAAATAAAACAATATTATTTGTATAAAATAATTAAACATTTCAAATAAATGGCGAAGCAAATTAATATTGATAATTTGTTCAATCACTAAAGCACCATAGATATATTGATATGTTATATTAGCTATAAAATAATTTCACAAATATAAATCTTAATCAAACGACAAACAAACAAAAGCACTTACTAAATCTCTCCCTTGCACATTAGAAGGGATTAATTTCGGATGTTGGCGTCGTAAGTCCATCAATCGGTTGTTACGTTAGAGAAGACTCCACAAGAGACTTCCGTTCGTAATAAACGGGTGAAATATGTATTGCAGGACGCAACGAACATGTGACCGCTGCACTGACGAAAGATTTTATACCTCCCATACACGTATTCAACACAATACTAAATATATCTGATATAAACGCAAAATTCTCTTATCCAAATATAAACACTAATTGAAAACATGTTTCGTCGATAAAATTGGATGTAAAATTCATGTTTGTACATGCATTTTACATAAAATCTAAAATCAGTTACGTTACAATGATAATGTACTGACTAATTGATGTCTATCTTAATATAATGTTAATATTAAATGACTAAACTATGTCGATGATAATATATAAACATATCACTTTTTTCGATAATATTTATGATACTCATTTTAAAGTTTACTTTCGCTTTTCCTTTGATGTTGTTGTGAAAATATTAACTAAATTTAGTTGCTACTTATAAACATTATTTCTTTGAATCCTTTGGCTCGAATGAAGTGCTTTCGTTGCAAAGTCCAGTGTCAGAATGAATAGTGAGGGGACACAAACGTCAACAATTTAGTAAGGCTAGTGTTGGGTCAATACACGATCACATTTTCTTCCTAACACTACAAATTAGCTAATTTAAGCAGACGAAGCTAAAAAAACTAAATTCGTAGTGAATTTTCTGTGTATTTTTTTAATTCCTAGCACGTTTAAAAAGGATTTTTTCTAATTCGATAAAATACGAATAGCTATCGCTAATCTACTCCAAATAATTTTTGAATAGATTAGTAATTTTTATAAATTTATAATAAAATCAAAATATATTCTCTTAGAATACATTAATAAATGCTTATAAATTAAAGAAGCGTCAAAGAAGTAAAACAATCTCATATTTATGTCAATAATATTTCTTTTAATGAGACCAGTCAGCTGTCCTTTCGTTAATTTATAAGGGTTATTTTTTGTCAAAACATTATTTCGGGTAATGCCATCGGAAAGATCTCATTAACTGCCAAAGTATAAGCATGAAACGATGTACACAAAACATTCAGATATAAATCATCGCCGCTGTTTGTCAGTCGTTTAAATGTGTTAAGAAAATTATTTACATCAAAAAGTAATTTAAACGTCGTCGGTGATTTCACAGCTACTGAATCATAACGCAGCGTGTCGACAACGACGAAACGTTGCCACAAAAACGATACTTTTTTTATTGATTATCAAAAGCGCACAATAGAAAGATGGCTCTGTGTGTATTGTCGCTTAGTTCGAACAGACGGCGCCACCGGAGTCGCTGCTTTACTAAAATGGCAGTTGAATATTTTTACCCGCAATGGCAGTGCTATCATGCAATCGAATATGAACCTTATCAGCAGAAAACAGAATTGACTTTCGACTACCAGACGGTGAAGACTTACGAGACAGCGAGTGTATTTGTGGTAGAGCTCCGTCATTGTTCGCTAAATTGTCGCTTGCACGGAACCGGCCGGGCTTGTCGTGAGTTAGGTATGAGCACACAGCACACAATGACAGCATACATACATTTAAACACCTGTTATTAAACATGCACAGGGTCACAGAGCGTGCTTACCTACTGCAAACCTCGTTAAATACAATGACTGATAAAGATCTCACTAAAGGTGATTTTGATGCATCCATTATTACCAACAATGGAACACAAATAATGATAAGTGAACGAAATGTTTTACACCCAATAAACACAAGTGTACACTTTGAAGTATTCATCGAACGATTGCTTAAAATCACTAAAACAATATTGAACAAACGTCAAATGAAAATATGTCGTAATCCAATAAGCATACGTGAGACATTCATGTCAGAACATTTCTAAAGCCGCAGATTAAGTCGACGAGCTTCCTCTTAACACTTGAAAGAAACGGATCATCTTCCGTTCGATAGGATTTTCTGGGCTTAAAGGATTTCACATGTGCCCCGCGTTACGCATTTAAACCTTACGATCGTACGAAACCGAATTGCATTTTAAATGGATTGCCATTATTTTGTTCTTTTTCAATCTCACATTGTTATGGTCGGTAGATATTTTAAAGATAGAAACTTTGCCTCTGTGATCCCTTACAAGGATTAAGGAGGCCGCGCACCAAGACCGCTCATTTGTCCGCCTTTGTGCAAAACAAGGTGCTAAACCAACGCGTTTTGTGGGAGCGATCTTTACGAAACCGCAACATATGCCCTCAACGTATGACATTAAATAAATTTCGATAAACGCTTCAGTAAAAAATTATGTAAAGACGAAACGCGTCAATTCGTATAACGACATCCTTCAGGCCTGAACAGAGATAAAATGTAATTGCAGTAATTATAGCGGTCTCCTTTAGGAATCATTTTTCGAGTTTAAATATTAATGTTTCGTGACAGGGCGGCAACACTGGTGTGCGAGGCGTCGGAGGTTTTCTGGCCCATCGCACACGGACCGGTTCGCCGCTGGCTCACACGCTACGCCAGAAAAGCGAAACACGTTGTATCGCAGTCGAGAGCGATAAACCTTTGCTTCGTATACGGACAAACGGCAAACGACCTATTGGTACCAATTTGCAGACTCTTGTTTGTTCTGCATTTGGTGGAAACAGAAACTGATAGTTGGCGGCAAAAGGCAAAGTTCTCTTGCACTCCAAATTGAAAATAATGCTCACGAGTCCTTACAGTACAATAACACAAATTTCTTGTTTAAACTGAGGCGCATGGTACCTAAAGTCTTGACAATTTAATAGAAATCAATTTGAGAAAATTTACTGTTTTAATAAAATGTATAATTGGTCTAAAATACATACCAGTGGCGAATAGAAGGCAGAGCTATCTACGCCGATGCTCGGATATGGGTTCTGGTCCGAAGATGGGTAGGGCGTTCCGTAGACGCCGACTGCTGCGCTGGAGAGTCGCGGATAAGAGGTGAGGGCAAGGCGAGCGCCGTCATACTGGCAGGAGCATACAGTCTGGCCCGAGACCGGGTCGGTGATGATAGGTCTCGGCGTGTCGCAGCAGGAGGCGGCCGGAGTGCTGGCGTGGCTGCCGGCGCCGGGCGAGAGAGCGCCGCCCGCGACGCCCGACCCGCCCGGGGACAGCGGGGGCGCCGAGCTGGAGCCCCCATCCGGCGACGTGGCTGCGCCGCCGTTGCCGCTGCCTCCGCCGACCAACAGCTGATAACAAAAATATTTTATTAAGCTCATGACTGAGCAGCAAATAAAGCTGACGTTAATCCCCATCATTAAGAGCTCATATTAATGAAATTCAAAGAATCGACAGTAGTCCGCTACTGCGATAACAAAATAATCTCTATGACAGACATATTTTAATTGGGTACATAATAAATTAGTTTACTGGATAGTAGAACTCTAATGTTAATTGTATCACATGTGTAAACAAAATAATGAACCTAATCGACGGTTCACCATTAAATGTTGACAAGAAAGTAACAAGATATAAGCCGGTGAAAGCTCCCGTTATTTTTGAAAAAACAAAACAAAGGTTCGTTGCATCACGCAATTGTAGCGTATTCCTCATCTAGTTGGCAGTGAACCCGAAACATTTGTGCTAGCGATGGCGTGCGAATAGTGATATGATGCGTTTTTACCCTTTAGATTCGCATCAGAAATAGTACTTAAAACGATAAAAATATGAGATAGGAAATAGAAAAACTAAGTTGCAATAAAAGTCTACTTTAACGTAAACACGAAATGTTTTTCAACGGATAAGAAGTTTGTTACGGCTTCCATTAATGCAATGGATGACAATCATAAGTTGATGTTTAGTAATTAAATAAAAGTAGTTAGTTATAAACAAAATATTTAGGTAGGCTTGTATTTATTTCGACGTGAGATCTGGTTTTAAATTATAGTTGAAATGCTATTTAATTAAAATAAATAAGGCTTAAATTCTTAGGTACTATAAATAACTGAAACATTAAAATTTATATTCAAATCTAAAACAATTCAAAAAACAACGAACAAATCGCATGCGATATTAACATTTTCCAAAACTTTTGTACTAACGATTCACCCCTATCGAAGTGGAAAGAGTGATAAAATTTGATTTATTAGTAAAAATCATTTCTGCATAAAATTGTTATCTAAACTATGTATCGGCGATAGACGGGTGAGTTTAGTTGGTTGGCACGCACACCGCTGTCACTGTATAGCATCGGATCCATTCACGCAAGCTACAGTTGCATGTTATTCCTTTTATCGGGAAAATCAAAGGAGAATCGTTAATACTATACAAAAAGCATGTCGCATTTACCGAATAGCGTAAATCGGATATGTGTCAATTATGACGTTAACACCAATGGAAGGTAAAGAAACTTTTAACAAATATTATTAATACAGCTTATCTTTTTATTGTTGATTTACTTGCTTATGAAGCAAATCTTACTAATATTATAAATATGAATGTTTCGATGGATGGATGTTTGTTTGAAGGTATCTCCGGAACGATTGAACGTATCTAGCTGATATTTGACACAGATGTAGAACATATTCTGATAGAACACATCGGCTACTTATTAAGTTTGTTTTTTGATTCCGCATGGACGAACTCGGCGGCGACAGCTAGCCAAATGTACAATATACATGAATTTTCAATAAATACTCTTATAAAAAATATTATTAATGGATATTAAGGAACTCTCAAAATTGTCAACAATATATCCCACGGCCGTAACCCAGAAGGGTAGGCTTCTGCCTACATCATTGTAGTCTCTACTACAGACATCCATTTGGCGATGCCAAACGAATCCAAGCAATTCACTTGTCGCCTTACTTCACCATGAGACTTTTTCATTTACATTCCATTTCGTTTCTACAACAAGGTACAAAGTTATCATGTTCCATCGGTCCTAAAAAAAAATTCTCTGTATGATTTATTTAGAAAATTTCTTTAGGCTAAGTCATTTTCACATTTCCTGACTTGTGTAAACATTTCATCGAGGAATGAGCATCGAATGGTTATTATACGGAGAACCATAAGCCTTCATTTGATCAAAGTGAATGCCCTTTTGACATCTTGTTTCGCTTGTCAAATTTAAGCTATAATAATTAAATAAATATCATCAACATCCTGAATGTTGTGTTGATGTTAGTTTGAATATTTTTATATCATTAAATAAATTAATTTTAAAACGAAGAACGTAAGATCAAATGATTATAATAATAGAATCTTCGCACCTTCGAAAGTCAAAGGGATATGTACGAAAAGATTTATTAAAACTTTCACCGTTACGGTTTACCCCAGAATGTTATTGCTTATCTTACTAATATTATAAATGTTTAAATGAATGGATGGACGTTTGTTTGAAGATCTCCAGAACGGCTGAACAGATCTTGATTAAATTCGGTTTACAAATAGAAGTCTGGAAGGCCACATAGACTACATATTATCTTTTATTTTAATTCCGCGCAGACAGAGTCGCGGGCGACTGGTAGTCATTTTATATTTTCTGTATTGCAACATTTGACATCAAAAGTGAGGTGACACAATATAATTGAATGAACGATGGCGCTCATGCATCGGTCAATTTGACAGCGTGTCATTCAATTTGTCCATCGAATCTGGAAACTTATTCTCTTTTTGACACTTAACTGTGATTGCAAAAAATTGTCACCTAACAGTTTATTTTTAAAATCGACGGGGGAACTTTTAGCGCAGAAATTATTATGACTGTGGAAAACGATACTTTAGATTTAGAAAACGATATGCAAATGTATTAAAGCAAATCCTGTGAGTCTTTCGTCTCTTTTATGTTAGTTAGTGAACTATATTTCTATATGAAAAAATATATAAAATAAATATAGCCTATATAGCTAACGTGTGTACTTTCTAGTTGTGTCTATATATTTAAAGTAAATAGAAATCCTTGTTTATTGAATTCAGTCTGACGCGGTTTGAGCGGTAAAAGATTAAAGGGACGTCGAGAGGTCCGTGGTACGTCAAAGATTTGATCAAATATTGGACCAAGGTTGACTTAGAAATAATAGCATAAGATACTGTGCACACACGACCCCACTTCAACCACTAATGCTCCGTTTGAGTGCACCAACTTGTTTTCTTTAAACAAAGCGAAACGTCTTCAAAGGGGCAAACGCTCACGTAGCTCATTTCAGTTGTGGCAAAATTACGTCTTTATGTGGTCAAGTGATTTATTGTTATATATCACTAGCTGTCTACCGTGACTCTGTCCGCGCGTATTAAAAAACCTAACAAATAGCATATGTGTTCGTCCAGACTAATTTCTGTATGTATGCCAAATTTCATTAAAAACCGTTGGGCCGTTCCAGAGATGCCTTCAAACATCCTTATGCATTTATATCATTGGTAAGAAGAAAGATTATTTTCCCCAAATCATACTTGAATTTTTCATAATTACCTTGAATTAAACACTTTATTTATCGATTCCTGACGACACAAGTATAAGTATATGTTTTTGTATTCATCATACAACAACAATATAACTATATGTTCATGTAGTTAGTTATATCACTAATAATCATTCTCGGAAATATGATAAAAAGCTAGATTAATCTGTAAATAGGACCTAGCACTATCGGATACTAAGTGCTGATTAGTGACTGGATATATCGTCATCTAATTATTTATTTATTAAAAAGGTACACCAATTAAATGTTTAACAAGCACGAGCACATACAAATAACAAACAGAGGAACAAACAGATGACAGGCGTACATCATTCACTGGACAAAGTTTATATATATGTTTAATAATCCCTTAGTATGAATCCTTTTACAGTGCTTAACTCAATTGCTTGCCCTTGTGCGTTGAACAGAAACGCACACACTTAAACGTGCAAGTTTGTGTAAACATTAACGTCAGTCCGCGTAATATCTTAACATTTGCGTAGGTACACTGATAGTGCAATCCTATAATTCGACTACGTCATAATCCTATTAGATTACACTCGACGGACAGATAACGTGTTATTTGCATTTGATATTCGCATCGACATTTTGCTTGATTCTATTTATATACGTGGATGAACTAAAATAAATACAATAGTTTATAAAATAATGTCATGAATGTTACGTCAAGGCAGGCAAGTAGCCGCGTACCCATTCAGATTTCGTGATGGAGATTAAATTTTACTTGGAAGTGAATGCGGTTTCTAACTGTATTCGGCATTGGTTCACACCTTTGTTGTACAAATATTATAAATCTTCTTGCAGTTTTTATTTTAGTGAATCAATCGAAAAACATAATAATCGAAACGAATAATTTATTTAAAAACAAAAGCTTACTCTTTACTTCACAAGTTGCTTTTGAACTGAAATATTAATACACACCTTTACTCGTCCCAAAAGAGTAAAAATATTGAGTTAAATATATTACCTCTTGTTGAGATATAATTAGTGCTATGTTTTTAAATAGCAAAATTACCTTAACACAATCATGAATAATTAGCTAAACTTAAAAAGTAGCCTACTTGTTCTTTCAGACTATGTTCTACATCTATGCCAAATTTTAAATCCGTTCAGCTGTTCTGGAGATACCTTCAAACATCCATCCATCTATCAAAACATTCGCTTTTATGATATTATTGAAATAGTATTCATACTATGCGTTAAGTTTTCGTATTGTTTTGTTTGTATATGTACTTAAATCTTCCTTATTTCATCGCATTAGAGATCTAAAGGGCATCAAAGGCCCTCACAAATGAATGTATAAAATCGAGTTGAAATCGGAGTCACCTGCCCAGCGAAGCGTACAGACGTTGGCACCTCTATATATACAGTTTCAAAGAGTGTGCCGCCATTGGTTCGCGGATGCCAAACAACACTATCTGTCGGGTTCGCGTGTGCTTCTGTAATTAGTAACAGGGAGCGATAACGTGTCGCCGCATACTCTCTGTCATTACGACTCGCTACAACCATGTTCAAGTATTGGAACAACCATTTCAATGTTATTCACACTATTTCTGATTTATAAAATGAATTTGAACCGATAGTAAAGCCCTTGCTTACACAGCACTGATTTTACCTAACCTATTTTATAAATGTTATAAAAGGTTTTTATTACTGTTAGGAAGAAAATCCGATACTGAGCCGGTGTACTGGCGCAACACTAGCCTTACTAAAATGTCGACGGTTATGTCTCACCACTAATCATCTTGACACATGACTTTGTAATGAAA